GAAGTACAAGTTGAGTAAAATATTAATAACAAACCTTATCCATAAACGAACATAAAATATTTTTTCCATTGACCATGATTTCAATTACACCTTGATTCACAAAAAAGTCATGACGCTTATTTCGAGAACGGTTTTTTACTCCTGATTCAAGAGCACCGCCAAATGTAAGAATATTGTTTTCTTTCTACCGAAAATGAAATGTATATAATTATTATTTTGGTTTCGAATGTAAAGCTTGGACTCGTTTCCTATTTTCACTGGCGGATTAATTAAAGAAATCTACCAGAAACGCCAAAAGGTCAGAAGATCCGCCACCTTCTGGAATTTACAGATAATGAGGTTTCCTGAAAGCTCATCCGGTGCTAACAATAAGAGTATCAGAAAAGCACGTAATTTTGAAATGCAGTACACAGTTAGTTCGAAAGTAACCCTCTGGAAATTCAAAAATATCTCCGAAACATGACAGCTTTGTTCGTTCATTCGGTCATTTCTAGTCTGAAAAAAGGACCGCAATTCTCATATTCAAAATCTTCCCTTAAAATTACTACTCGTTCTGTCTTACCCTTCGATGTCCGGGCTAGATTTTGCCAAATTTTTCTCCGGCGTTAGATTTGGTCTGAATTTTGTCCCCGAGCAATTTGGTCCCTGAACACTCACAAGTACATACAGCTCGACGACGCCTGAGGCGGATCCTTCGAATTGTGGGACAGGAAATACTAAATACTGCCCAGTTATGGCGAATAGCAAGTGAGTTTCGGGTTCAACCATAACTTTTAAATCTTCGAAAGTAAGCGACGGAGATAAACAACGATGCAGTACCAAAGGAAAATACAAAACTCACAACTCGGTTTTGCAGTACATTCCTCATAATATCTTCGGATTTAGTAATGCTCGACGGACTCGCAGCAGATTAATTGAATTATTCGCGCCAAGTGCTGCAGGTAAGTATCGTGCAATCCATTTTGACTGCACTAGTACGTGGTGCACGGAGACAAAAGTGAGGGAATAGTGAATATCAGATTGAATAGTACAAGTGTCAATAGCACTTTTCCCAGGGCTACGGTTTACCATGAATGGGAGGGTTTTTCGGCAGGGTATTCAGAAATTTGAATGAGATGTCACGTCATTCAAAATGCTGCGGCATAACGTGTTTGATCAGGAGGGCGACACGCATGATGATTCAGCACGAATTTGCTCGAATGAGTGAATCACTGCCTGTCAATCGACTCGAAACTCCTACAAGTAAGCCTTATCCCTTAATATATAAATTTCACTGAACCAGAGCGGCCTTCGGACAACTTAGGCATAATTCATTCGAATGCTTCAATCTTCTGGATTTTCTTGAAGGCAGTTGACACGATGACTTGGTGCTCAGCCTAAAATGCTAGTAGGGCGCTAAATAGTGGGGGAATGGCGAAAAAACGAAAACGGTCAAAATCCTGCGAAGAAAGAGCCTCCGTTCTCGATGTGTCCAAAATCAATTTTGGACGAGTTTCCCGAAGGCATCTTACCAATAACCGCTACCGAAGGTACAGCTGCACATGTGTACTCATATATCCATGCATCATCACTGCCGTTTCATACCAACCCCTTCGCTTCATAATTTGCTTAGCAAATTGATAGAGCGTCAGGAAGGGTCGTCCGTTTGTGGGCGGGCGGGCGTGGCGGGCGTTGGGGTCGGAATGTCGTGGCTTGATAGGGCCCTTATAAGGGCACCCGCCCTGGAAAAGGCATTATGCAGCGCCTGCTCAGGGTCGCGAATTTCCGTCCTGCCAGGCGTATTAACACTACTCGTCTTGTGGGATTTATCGTGCCAACTGCCTTTAAAAGTGCCCTTATCCCGACTCGCCACATGTTTCTTGTACATTTCAATGCTTTGCCCGCCGCTGTTCTCTAACTGTCATTCCCTCACTTACTAAACCATTATCCGTTACATGGTTTCGCAACAGGGGTTGACGTGACAACAAACTTTTGGTGGGGTCCTGCTGCGAAAGGCCAGAGCGCTGAGAAATAAAGAAGTGGGGTCGTCAAGGCAATGAGGGGTGCAAAACACACGGGACAGGAGATGACTTTTTCCTGAGGGAGAGGACATCGTGGATGAGTCACTTATTGTTTTTGAAAAGTTGGAATGTGAAAGGTCAGAGCGATCATAGAACGCCATTCAGACGAGAGAGCGCAGAGAAAAACAGAAAGTTGGCGCCATTAAATGGATTGAATTTTTGCTGTCTATAAAGCCGCAACAGGACCGTGATTAAACGTTCAAGGTGTCACGTTACCGCGCGGTGTACTACTGTTTGTTGCTGGTTCCTGCAGCGACCAGGGGAGCAGGAAATCATTCGTAGTTTTGCATATAACGAACCGATTTTAAATTTTTGATTGTACTGATTTTGAACTGTTTTCTTATAGTTGCTATCTTCAATGAGTGTAACCAGTTACGACGAGCGCAACATGCCGGCCACGCCCTCCAGCGTTCTGGACGACTGTCTAGGACGTCTCCCCAGGCGTTTCCTCATTGGCTGTCAGGTTTTGTCTGATTTCTGTGGCTGCGTCGCGTATCGTGAGAATGGGGCGTTACCCCACTGGACTTCCATGTACTTCCGTCCTTCTTTATAAAGTACAAAATCATCCGCGGCGATGTTCTGCAATGTCATGGGCAGGAATCGTGATGGTGTGTCCCAAAGTGCGGCAGTTTGAATGCGAGTTTTTGAAATTCAATAAACAGAACTCCCTTCACATAGGTCTGATAGGTCTGAGGGAAGGTCTACGGAGGTTTGGAAACTAGGAACTATTCTTTTTTTGATACGTTCTTGCCATAGGTCCACTATAACCACGATTCGTCCGTTGTGGATTCTGGACTGAGGGTTTGCTTCAGCTGCAACAAGAGGCCCTGTCCAGCATTGCTGACATATCCAGTTCGAAACCTTTCAAAGCTTTTGATTCACTTCGCTCACTTGGTTAATGAATCTTGGAGTGCAGATGCGCTGGTTAATCACTTTGTAGGTTACGCCATGTTCTCGACTTTCATTTAGGTTCGCAGTGGCATTTATAGAGTGATGGACTTATGAAACTTTTCTTTAAGCCAGCCAGTGCATCGATTGTCTTACTTATGGTTAGAGCAACTATAGTAAAGCTTCATCCACTCCCTATTAACTTATCAGGAATTCTTTTGCGAACAAATGGGTGACGATACCAGCAGCAAGACACGAAGTGATGATGATGTCCCATAAGCGTTGCCACTGCTCTATACATCATTAACTCGTGCACATACGACCCCCTCGCCTCATAGCTAAACACATAAGGCCCCAACGTCAGACACACCGCGACATATGCGTGACCATGCTGTGAGCTCTTGGTTCTAATCAAGTGTTGTGCTTTGGAGTGTATTCCTTTCCCCAACGTTTGTTTTTCTTTGTTTCTCTTTGCCCATATTACAACATTCTTATTATTTCTAATGAATACTGCAAGTGCATAGTGCAAGTGTGCCCGTGTCATTACACCTTTCTTTCGGTTCCATGGGGAAGATAACCTAATCCCTGAACCTAAGGTGCGAGAGAAAAAAAATTTAAAATTTGTTCAAGGCCAAGAGTGCGTCTTGAAGGCATAATGTAAGATAGTTGATACTCGGTCTGAAATGGTAGCAGGGGTGCTAAATAGCGGGAAAATGGCTAGAAAGCGAAGTGAGACGGCCAGAAAACTTGCAAAAAAGCCTTAGTTCTAAACGACTCAGGTAGCAATTTCGACGAGTTCCCCGCTGGCATCGCGCCAATAACCGCTAAGGTAAATGCAGATGCATATATGAACTCTATAATCATGCAGCACCGTAGCCGCTTCATAACAGGCCCTTCGCTTCATGTTATACTTCGCAAATAAAACAGTACGAGCATCAGGTAAGGTAGTCCATTTGTGGGCGGGCGGGAGCTGTGGGCCTCTGGGTCGGCATGTGCGGCTTGCTAGGGTGCTATAGAGGTCCTCCCGCGTTACGCAGCGTCTGCTCAGGGGCGCCGACGATCATGCTAGGCCTATTAACCCTACACGTTTTCGGGATTTATAGTTCTGCCTTCGAGTCCATTACTCGAAAATATCACAGTCAGGAAAGGTTCGTCGAATATTTGCGTTTTCATTTTTTTCAATGTGTACAACTTCGTTCATAAATAGCCTATAACGAAACGATGGACTATTTTCAAAGCTGGAGGGCTTCTTCTTCTCGAAAACTGTAGTATCTTTGCTGAAAGTGCACGACTTCCAAAAATTTGTTCTATTCAAACACAGCTACTTATTGAGATTTTTTTGATTGAAAGATAGATATGGGTCTAAAAATACTGAAAAATTTTCTCATCAGCTTAAAGTCATTCACCCTTCTCCATCAACCCTTCTAGAACTCTCACAAGTCTTCTCAGTCTGAGTCTGAACTTCTCCTACTTATACCAAATGAGAACTGAAGCAATCGGCTTCGATCAGTTCTGCTGAGGGAAGCGCCGTGCACTCGTTTTCCATCGAGATTAATAGCTAAACGTCATTTCTCCCCCGCCACCCTTATGTGAAATCAAAGTGAAAATTCTTTATGAACAGTGACAAAGCTAAATAAACAGCAATCGATTGCAATATGCAATCATAGCAATGACATTGTTGAGCAACAATTATTAATAGCATAAAAGGGGCAAATTCATACAACAATGACACTCTCGAGACTAGTAATCAATGGCATTTTAATATAATAGAATAGCACCTGTTTGATAAGGTAAAATCATACGACACATAAATTTGAGGATGGCAACGATGTGCTTTACTATTTTCCATATGGTTTACCCGGAATGTAACTTAGAACATAAATTGGCGAAAAAACCAACACCGGAGAAGAAAATGGCTTTTATTAACATTATGATATCAAGTGGAAGACTAGAGGATTGAAGGGAAAAGGGCAGAAGTGATTTCAGTGGAGTAATACTGGGATTGTTAGAGGGATCAATAAATATGTTTAACATACTCGGAACTTTTTATAGTTATGGTTGTGCACTTAATCGTCTACGGCGCTGTTCGAGTACGGCCTTTGGACAGAGAATCTTCTTGAACGCTCGTCGAAATTCCAAATTCAAAATGCCGTAGAGAAACGGATTTAATGATGAATTAATGTAGCCCAACCATGTGAACGCCTGATTGACCTGAACAAGTACTTGAAAAATAGTAAAAAAATACGATTTTTCAGTACGTTGAACGATCAAAAGCCTTCATATGCATTTCTACCACGCTGAAATGCCAGGACGGCTGTTTCTTTGTTCGTGAAAAGGTTGTCAATCAGTCGGAGGCCTGTCACTTGGCTACAACGGAGACGGCAGATGTCATTCAAATTGCATGACCTCAGACCGGGAGGAACCAAACTCGCGGTGTCGCGCGCACCACAGTGCTGACTTGGTCTATTTATCTTTATCAAAAAAAAACTGAAATAAAAATAAAATAATCGAAAATTATGTGGGCTCACCTTTGGATGAAGTGTGCAGGAGTCGCAGAACGGCAGGACAACATAGGCGCAGAAAAATGGCAGCCAACAGAATGTGAACACAAAAATGATCACAGCAATTGTTTTGGCAGCCCGTTTCTCCTTGGCAACGCTGATTTTCTCTCGTTGTCGAAGCATCGCTTGTGGATTCTGAACAGCTTCTTTACTGTCATAGTAGTACACATTATTGTCAATATTTACTTGTAAATTATGAGTAAAGACGGCACAGACGGAATTTACGATTAAGGCTACGACGGAACTACCGTAATCATTGGAAATTTGCTTATTCACTGTATTCAATCATTTCTGTATACTTTAAGTAAGTGAGAAGATCATCACTCATTAATATCATCATCTGCAAGCAAAAAAGATGGCTGTTGTTTTTGGCTCCGTTGGAGGATGAGCCATGCATTCCACTTTCACTCAACACCCAATTAACTTTTGAGTTTGAAGCGCTGAAGGCAGCAAAGTACGCGAGCATACAGTGTCTACAGCTTACCAGACCAGTTGACCAATACCGAGTGATGGCACATTCCATATCTAAGGGATCCGTAGAATGCACCCCACATACCAACAGTCGTTATCACCCAAGTCAACCGACGAGTGCCAGCTAACGTGGGTTTCGGTACAGTGCCAGCCTATTTTTCATCGATCGCTGCGGCTTCAGGCATTAGTGATTGGTGAGAAAGGGCTGGCGCGGCGCCAAGTGAGACCCTCTGGCACGCCCAGACTGGCCTCAGCAACAGACTATTGTCGTGAACGCGGCAGCGAATCTGTGGACAATTGCCGGCTCAGGTAGAGGGGGGGGGGTGAGAGATGTGTCAAGCGTTTCAACACTAATTTATACACACGCTGCCTGCACATCTGCTTTAAGCCGCAGCTTTTTAGGGCTGGTAAAATCACAACTGAGTCTCAGACACGCCCTCCTCATCTCTAGAATACAAACTGCAGACTCGGTTGACCTGAGTGCGAGCCCATCCGGGGTTTGACCCGCACGAAGAAACTTTTAAGAGGCTTCACTTAGGTCTTCACAGCCTCCACTAAAGGGTCACCCTTTCTATGATAGAGAATATTGTGTGGTGCAGTGTGGCTCACTACACGCGGCCTAACTAGGAGCCGCTTCCGCATGATATTCTGCCGGTTTAAGTACACCAACCCCTACATTCAAAGGTCCGTTGCAACTTTTTGTGGAAATAATTGTCCTATTCAGTGGCCCTGCCATCACTGTGTCTGCCACCATTAGGAACACACCCTCAAAATATTTCGGAATGGTATGAGTAAAGCTGTGAGCTTCGGTCAACCGGTTCAAGGAGTGCCATGCTTTCAGGTTCTCTTTCAAGCTTCAAGACTCTTGAACGCTTATCAGGTCTCTACAAGGACTCATGAGCTACGGCTCATACTAGTGTCACACGCACAAGTCTGAGAAGTTTTGTGGCGAGTAAACAATTGGAATACCACCAGTGCTTGCATCGCAAACAGTCACAAAGGCTCACAGTATAACTTTTTCTCAATGCACTCGTTAAAGTAGCACCAGGTAACAGTAAGAAGAAGTTAGCCCTTCAGTTCACTGGAAAACACCTTTTTCAATCTGTTAATCATGAGTTCGCATGAAAGAGATTCGGAGCACACTCCAATTAGGCTCATTAACCTGTTGACGCAGTGCCCCTACAGTGACGTTTGAATTACGACCGAATATCAAAATCATGTTTTCTCACTGAAATAACTCAGTATAGTGAATCCCTGCGGATCGTAGACCAGTTAAATCATTAATGAGTCACTAGGGGATGCCGACAATTAGGCTTTAATGACGCCGATCCTTTGAAGACATGTGTAAGCGGACGGAGATACGATAACATGGGTGTAGCCTGAGCAATCCGAGATCTATTCTCTGCCCTCGCCAAGAAAGGAGACTATTAATAGCAGTACTTGAATTTCAGGAAATTCCATCCGTGAGCCGTACCAAAAAGTTCGAACTCGTTGAGTTGCACCCCTGTCTAGGCACCTTTTCCCCGGAATAAGGTCTCACAATGGCTTCGGGGTCCACCCTCTAGCTTACGCATCGTTCTCAGCAGTTTTCACCCCTTTGCCCGCCATTTTTTTTCATGTCTTGGTTATATTTTATTTGTTTTTATTTCTTTAAACATAGTGTTTTGAACTCAGTGTTATAGTGAAGCGAAGTAGTTTTGTTGGGCAGCCAGCGAGAAAATGGGATGGTACAGCGCGGGTGGAAAAAAAATTTAGAAATCAGAAGAAATTCTCATGACAAATATCCACCCCCGCTCGCCGCCCCCCCCCCATTCCAGCGCTGTAAGTAGAACCCCCACTATGTTTCACCCAGCAAATGATATGGTTGCCTGCCGAGTTGGAAACGACGGGCTCCCCGGAAACTCGCAAGCAGGGGACTTAATCTTGATTTTGTAAATTGTGCAGCGGGTTTCGGTCTGGCGGACCTACTGGTAGGTCTTCGCGAGCTAGACGGAGAACGACATCGGTTCACCTGTGTAACTGCGGAGTCTGAGGAAAGAATGCTCGCTTTCATACTCGCGGGAAATGTGATTGAATTGCTCGCCTACATGAAGAGGAACATCTAAAGGAATATTACAAAGAAGAATGGGCGAGTTATGCGGCAGAAAGTCGGCCTTAGGGCGAAAAACAAGACCCCGCACCTCATCGCCGACCGAGCGAACGTGCGCTCTCCGAAAATTGACTTTGCGGTCTTTTCGATGGAGACTGTGTCCACTTTCGAACTTTTCCATGAGTAAACGCATCATGTTTCTCTGCCGACCCCCCCCCGCCTCCCTGCAGGCCACTCTGCAGATTGAAATAGCTAAGCATTGCCAAAGCCGGCCTCGCAGAGGTGAAGTGCCTCCGTCAGAAAACTGATGCACATCAAGCGGCAGATGGCTAAAAGTCATAAGGCGAGAGACTTCAACATGTCGAAAATTTCCTTTATTTTGTGAGTAGCTCAATAGGGTTCCCAGAAGTTTCAAAATTTTAAGAGAGAGTTCTAATGCATGGCGTCATGCACAAAACTTACATCAAACACTATGTTATTTCAGCCCGAGTTATTAAAGGCGCTACTCAAAAGCATTGTAGAGACCGGGTAGCGTGGCCGTAATGTTTCAAACCTATCCGTGTTGACGGTGTCTAAACGCTTTAGTGAAATATTTTCATTGACAAATTGTTGTCGTGTCTCTGTCCAACAAGAACAAGATGATAGTGTCCAGACTGGAAAATTCCACGAGTAAACCAATCTATCGCGTGTTTGTTACAATGCCACGCCTACCTCTAGGTCAGGATAAGAGGTGTGTAGGGTGCAACGGTATTTTAATGGGGTCCTCTGTGATGGTTTTCTGTAGTGCTTTGGACAGGCTGAGGACTTTGGAAGGACTGAGCTATGCAAAATACTTAGAGCAGCTTATTGCTAAGTCTAGCAAAAATCTTCGCGCGCGCTTTGTTCCAAAATGCACGGAAAGAAACGCTTTATCCCCCCAGAAAGAGGGCAATTTAATTCTCCTCTGTCCCCCTGTTGTTGCAATCGTTGCAAGGGCTCAAATACTTTGCACGAGCCAAAGCCGCAGGAGGAGAAGGCGAGTCGAGCTATTCCACTAATTCATTGTTCATTCAGAACGCACTAAATTCCCAACTATTAACGTTAATTTGTTCGCGGCTTGCTGAGGCGATTGTGTTCGGAGCGACCAATTGAAGACTATCGACGCTTCAAAACATTACAGAACGTGCCATTTCTAGGTAAATACAAGTAGACAAAGTAATGTCACGTTCTAAGGAACCTGACCTTCTTCGATAGTCTTCCGAAAATTCCTTTGAGAGTCTATCGGAGTGCACTTTAATGGGAAAAATTTCCAAAATGTGTGTATAGTTGATATCGTGGCAGTCAGCCGGGGAGGTGTCAGGAGAGGTGGAGTGAGCCTACACCGCCGACTGAGCACGACGATATCAACTGCATACATGCTGAAATCCTGATGATAGTCACCCAAAATGCTTTTTTTAGTTTGAAAAAACTAAACATTGAGGAAGGCTTGAAGGTACACGATGTTATGAAAGTTCGTTCAATGAAATGATTCAAAATGTCAAAACGTGACTGAAGCCATTGCAAAACGAACCGGGTTGTCTTTCCCGGCGGCATCACGTCTTGCACAACCATTGTTGTGATATCTCATTGTTCTTGTCGTTTGGTCCGCGTTGACACCATCAGGCAACTGAAAAGGGAACTGATAATTTGAACAGTAGTCCTTAAGTGGTTCTTGTCATCCTAACCAAGGATTTTGAAGTGCTCACCACGCTCGTTCGTCGGTCTGGGGTTCAAATTCCGGATGGAGTCCCTCCCTGGTCGAGCATTTCTTCCACGCTCAGGTACCAGTGGACTCGTGTCAGAGGAAAACAAAAACACTGTCTTTTACCACTAGCTGGCCGCCGAAGGAGTTATTGGATAGGCTATACCGCATTTAACAAGTCGCCACCCAGGATGGGTAGAGGGCGTGTCAGGTCGCTGGGGAGGCGAGTCATATTTGATAGATGGGGGGGGGGTCGAATCTAACCTTGATAAGAATTTTTCCAAGTGCGACATTTTTCCGGGTTGTTGACTTTTCCCTATCTTTCCGTTTCATACGCAGCGCTAAAGTTTCGGACAGAAAGTGGAAAAATAGTAAGTAGTCAAGAAAACTTAAAAAGCTGGTAGGAAAGATGCGGAAGGATGCGGATCGGGGCTACCCCAAGCAGAAAATTTCGGGTGTCGTACCGACCTCAACGTTTCACATAGCACGATGCTGTGCCCTGAAAACAATGCGCTACGGTCCCTAAAAAGGGACTCATCAACGGCTGAACCTTTGCCTTTTCCCCTATTAATCGGGAAAATCTGGATAGCAGCATTCAAGAGGATGGCCTAGCTTTCCTGAAGGATTTGCCAGCGAGTAACTTGAGATTTACGGAGAAAAGGTTTCATCTAATATGAGGTATTCTTCGTGATTTAAATGTTTGGAAAATCAAAGGCTCAAGAAGGTAATGGCGAGACCTTTCAAACCTTCAAAAAGTATTCGAGTCAGGCAATTGCTAACTGGGCACGAAGAATGACGGGACAAAACGTTTAGCGTTGACCAGTCGATTTGCGGGATGCGCCGTGCATTTCTCTTGGATCCAGAATGCTAGTGACGTGCTGAACGCGAACCAACTCTCTACAGTGACATCTACGGGTCAGCCAAGGTGAACTCAGTAATATCGCAATCACAGGACACTTCTGGTATCAATCATCCGACTACCGAGGAATTGAGGGTTCCGCTACTCCGGGTAGGAGGCGATGGAGAACCCGACCTCAGTCCTTTAACTAATCAAGCAAGGTAACATGAAAATAGGGATTGTCATACAGTACTGTTTTCTAGGACCTCAACAGCTCTTAGCAAGCATTTGTTTTATAGCTTTATGGAAAACTTATAGGACGAAGGACTTGTTGTGCAACCTGGACCTACTCTTTGAAAACTTGATCGAATATTTCAATTACAATACAATCCCTGTGCAGTCCAT